ATGCTAATTTTTTCTTCGATCTTGAGTAAACTATTAATCGGGTGTTTGCAAACTTGGGTCGCGCTGAACTCCTACCCGGGGGGGGGGGGGAGAGGGGGGTCCTATTCGGCTAATTTGGGTGGGGTTTAGAGACAAAATTGGGGTTTGGAGCTTAAAGGCAGCGTCCAGGCAAGTCTGGACCTATGGGGATTTTACATGGAAAGTACTTTTGGGGCCCTAACTAACCCACTACCCAACCGGCAGCTCAGGTAGTGCTGTAACGCCTGAGATATTCTGCTCGAAACTGGACCCCGCGACCGTGTTTCGCATGGATTCATGGCGCAAAGCGTGGATCCTGGCGCGAAACTGCCATGAATCCATGCGAATACGTTCGCGGGGGTCTGTTTCGAGGGGAATATCTCCGCCATTAGAGCACTACCTGAGCTGCTGCTTCGGCAGTGCCTTAGTTAGGGCCCCAAAAGTACTTTCCATGTAAAAGCCCCATAGGTCCAGATCTGCCTAAAAGCTGCCTTTAATTAGGGCTAATTACAGTATGCCGCGGCAGACTTGCGGAGCACAAAATCGGGGGGCTCCGGTGGAGAAAATGGGAGGTATCCGGAGCAGAAAATGGGAGGTCTCCGCTGGAGAAATGGGAGGGCTCCGCCGGACAAATGGGAGACCCACCGCTGGGGAAACGCCGCGACCCTGCCATTTCTCCGGCGGAGGGGTCCTATCCGGTGCCTGAGAAATTATCACTCTCCAGTCGTGGTCACCCGCGCGGCAAATAGGTTTCAGACGTGCACAGCGTGCTTCGTTATGTTGATCAGTTGACGGCTGGTACAGTAGCTGATGCTCGAGACAAAAGGAGCATGTTTTGTTAGAATAGGAAATAAAATGCGTTTTACAATTATGGTAATATGCTCTTAAAATCAAAGCTGAGCTAATGGTGAAGGATTCGGCGTCTTCAATACCCCTTGCAGACGCGCACAAAACCCACTCTACCGTTTAGTCGAAGAGGCTTCTAGTGGGGGGGGGGGGGGACGCGGACGACGACATGGCGCGCAAAATTCAGGCACTGTGAAATCGCTTTTGCTAATTTTTACAAAAATTTTCTTATGGCATCGAGTCATGTATCTGCCCCAAACCCCCATCTTCCTACCTTGGCGCCGGGTCACCTTAACACCGAAGAGTTTTGAAAAGCACAAGATTTGGGATTTGTCGCCTTCCGCACCACACCCCATTGACTCCACAGTTCAATTAGCTTTGTGTTACAACACAAGTAATCCATTCATAATACCTTTCCTGATCGTTGCCACAATATCCATCGGAAGCGCGCGCAACTGGTGCACGGGATCCACAAAAGTTTGATTCACTGTATAACCTTACTGCTTGCAGAAAAAATTTACTACTCGTAGATGTGGAATGTCTTGCGGAACGTCTTATTAGGACTTTTTGCAATCATCAACAATAAGTCATTTTCCAGCGCTTCAAGCGCTTATGTCTTGTCATCAGTCCCAGAGCACATTTGCTCAAATATAAAAGTATTTGGCTATTCAGTGGCGTTGTCATGTCATGTAGTATACATCAACACCCAAATCTTTATTGGACGACTTTATTTCCACACATCGTTAGCTTTGAACCGCAGCATTTAAGGACTCAATATCAAAAAATGGAGTCGCTCGTTCATCTATTCATCCAATCATGCTACTTACTAACCAAACTTTGCATATGTCAAACTGGAGACATACTGAAAACGTTACTCAACGAACTCAAGAAACATGAGATTTGAATGATTCTTAACTGAAGATATGAATGGTATAGCAACATCAAAATCACTATTCAATAGTCGTGAGTGCTAGCAAATTTTATGTTGTGCCAAAAGTAAACTCCTTTTCTAGAACCAAGCTGTTTCTTTGTCCCTGGCAGCCCTCTTGTGTCTTTGGATAGAACGAAGCAAGCCTTACAAAATGACCACCAATATGCCTAAGTCGTAACATGGTAAAATTTGGAGCCAAAATCAAAAACATTTAACCACCTCAAAAATCCGATCTCCTTCCAGAAATTATTCTACGAACCTTCAGCTTGGTCATTATACAGTAAACACATAGTTGTACACAAAAATGCATTTGTGTGCTTTTTTCCTGGTCTCAAAATAAGAAATAAAATAAGGCCGAAAATGCAAAAATGTCGCATTTCTTTTTTTTGAATGTTGAACTTGTTATTACGTGATTACCAGGGCACTACAGATCTTAAATCTCAGGATTACACTTACTAAGGCTTGCAGTATACAATCACATATGTGAGAGGAGCTAAAGGCGGAGTTTGCCACTTTTGGATCATCTCTTTTCTCTGGCCTTTATTGCTTGGAAACAATCCAGTGAAAGCATTTTTGAGTAATACTAGGTGTCTAGTGCATAACGACCAGCACGGACCTCAGCTGATAGAATTTCTTCGATTTTGGTTCCAAATTTTACCTGAATTACGATTTATGCATAACTTGGAGAGTGGGAGGGGTCATCTGTGAAGCTTGCTTCGCTCTATCGCATGATACCCCAAGTCTGCAGGGAAAACAAAAACAGCTAGATTTATTTAGAACCGAGTTTACTTTTGAGACAACCTAGTAGCAACTGTCAGTGAACCTGCAGTTAGTGAAAGCGTGTCTAGCTACTGTTCTCGCATTCATAACTATCTACATAGAAAATGGTTGTACTTTCAACATGCTTTGAGTTAACAAAATCAGGAAACTCCGGATTTGGACCGCCCTCCGTGTCAATCACGGCAATGTATCTATCAGTTTCTTTACATTTGTACTCAGCGACAGCGTAAGGTGCTATAGCGCAGTAGCTGGAGTAAACATAGCCAGTGTTAAGAGCTCGAGACTCGACGTGAGGATCAGAGGAGAAACGAAAGCTTTCTCCTCAACATTTTATACATCTTTGGACAAAGCAGACGTGAGAAGCATTTACCTGATTGGTAATAAAAGATTCTCAAGAACCTGCAGGGCACATTTTTTGGAGGCATAGAATACCCCGGAAAGCTGAACTGGCATTACACATTGCTGACAGTAGCCTACAGAGGCTAAGCTCTAAAGTCAAACCTGTAACGATTTGGTCCATTAGGAGCTTCCAATACATTTTTCTTCACTATCGCCTCTCCTATGAGGTTACTACCACCATCGCAAGGATATGGAAATTTCGGAGTCGTTGTTTGCACATTAGATGGTGGTCTCTATACTGTTACAGTTTCGCATGCTGTTTCCATCATTGCAAAAAAATATGCAAAAGCTTTACTAGTAACACCAAGCTCCTGCACTTCAGATCCGTACTTGAAGGTCCTGCACATGCCCTAAAACTTTTTTACTTTGCGTGTATTATGGACATGTTACCTGTTTCTCAACATATGAAGGAGAGTAACAGGGATTTGCTCTTCCTCTTATCTGATAGTACCTCACTGTAGTCCAAATAGCTGCATTCGATATTTGCCGAGCATGGTGTATGGTGTGGTGTACGCAATCACACTGACGCGAAATGACGCAAAGTTGTACGCATGATTTGAAACTCTATTGAAGTAATTTTGAAATACTATTTATGTGTATTTGCCTACGTTAGGCTATCGTGATTAGATACATGAGAACAACAAAGTTTACCATGATAGCTAACAACAATTCAATGGAACAATATCGAGCAAAAGTAGGCCATTTGACAAAATCATAAAATCTTATTTTTGTTGACGTGAATTATAGTGTGTAGTGTACGCAATCACACTGACGCGAAATGACGCAAAGTTGTACGCATGATTTGAAACTCTATTGAAATACTTTTGTAATACTATTTATGTGTATTTGCCTACGTTAGGCTATCGTGATTGAATACATAAGAACAACAAAGTTTACCATGATAGCTAACAATTATTCAATGGAGGAATATCGAGCAAAAGTAGGCCATGTGACAAAATCATAAAATCTTATTTTTGTTGACGTGTTATAGCGTGTGGTGTACGTAATCACACCGACGTGAAACGACGCAGAGTTGTACGCATGATTCGAAGCATTTTTGAAACTGCAAGCTAGATATCTTTACTGAAACACTATCCAAATGTTTCATTTGTCCTCATCAGGTCATTAAAGGTAAAATCAGAAAAAATGGCATGCGTAATAGCGAAACATGAACAAGGCAATGACTAATGCACTAGTGCTGCAAGTCCAGAATCCTAAAGTATATACGTTACGTAAACGAATACCATCGTATACCATATCTATTTTATCTATGTTATATCGACCTGTCTTTTATCTATGTTTTATCTGTCTGTCCAGTGGATACCAAGAAACTCCTACACTATGTCGCCGCTTCAATTACACTTTAATTATCACATTAATGCTCTGCAGCCGATTCTCCGAATTACCTACTCTCCAGAGGTCAGATCTACCAAGCGAACAAAATAGTTTTACAAATGCCAAGACTCTGTAGTCATTAGCCCTTGACAACGTTTGGTTTTTGTTTTTGTTTTACGCATCGTAAATTCGAACACACACCCTCTAGCAGTTTTTCTCCTGTTCAGTAGGTACCGAAAACAAAGCATTGACATGAACTTGCGTAGCTTCTTAGCTATCTGTCAAATAAATGTCTAGTATGTAAGTATAATTACAACAAAAGCGCAAGCTCTAAAGCCAGTGAATCGCACACGATGTGGCTAGTGAAACGTACACACTGGAGCTAGTTTGGTTATTAAACGTCACTGTCATAGTATCTAAGCTCTAATGCTATCTCTCTTTTTTTGGACCAATGTAAACCACTCGACAACTATCACGATTCCTATCCCTGGGATTACTCCCTATCTGTGAATAGATCCAGAAAACTTATGGCCAAACTAACTCTCCACTTAACCAAGTAACTGTCAGCCATCTAAGTATTTTAAACAATGTGCCTATGCACCTATGCATGAACCCATGTCACCTTATTCCCTTTGCTCTACACTTTAAGTAGTGTTTGTAATTACATAACCCCTAACTGTTTGTATTTACAGGGCAGTGGCTATCCATCGGACGTGTGTTGACTCAGAAGGAAAAAACTGATTATGATATGGCATGTGCCTTGAAAAGAGTTATTGTTGCTGAGTTGCAAGCACGTAAACGGGCTGATCCTCACTATCCCGTGCCATTTATACTCGTCTGTAAAAGAACCATAAGACTAAGAATCGAAAAACAGGTAAGTATTGGAATTTTCTTTATTGTGAGGTAAAATATCGATGTTTAGTACTCCACCATCGAAGAAGCCGCCTCCCGTTACTCCATATCTACCGAAGCTATACTTCGAGAAAAGCAACGTCATAACGAAACTCTACATTCTGATGCAAGAAGTACAAAGCGTCCTGCATATGTTGGCCCACTCAGGGATTCGCGCCGTGCGGGCGGTCCTCATTAAAGCTCTTCCGCCTGAGCGCACTGCATAGTTTTTGATGCACCATGCGTGCGGTCAACAATAAGAATGCCGTGCAAGCGGAAGACAGTCTACCCGTTCGATCGGCACGCAATAAAATCGACCGTGCAAGCGGCAGGCAATGCGTCCGCACGATCGGCCAGCAATCACTTGATCGTACAAGCGGCAGGCAATCTCGCCGCGCAATCGGTACGCAATAAAACCGACCGTGTAAGCGGCAGGCAATGTGTCCGTTCGATCGGGCGGCAAACATTTGCCCGTGCAAGCGGCCAACAGTGACCTCTACCTTCGGCTCATTGTTTTCACACACTGTGAGCGTAAACGGTGCCTGCATGAGATACGACGCAGCGTTTGGGCTGGCTAAGCGTCGACTATCGTGTTATCAACATTTCCCTCCACCGCAAAGCTGGAATGAACCTGCGTGAGGCTACAGTTATCAAGAGTGATGGTGTGGGCTTCTCCATGGAAAGCTTGGGTAGTGCGGCAGGCATTAGGTCCGTGTTCGCAGGATGTAATGCTTAACATACCTAAGAAAAATGGTTAAAATACCCCATATAAACCTACTCCAGCAGCAAGCGAGCGGCCGACCTTCCCCGCGCAAGCGGCGAGCATTAGAAACCGTGCGGGCGCCCCACGTTAACCGTGCTAACGGCCCTTGACGACCGTACAATCGCACACACCAACGAGCGATTATAAGTTCGTCGCTGGCCGCCCGCACGGTGCGAGTCCCTGAGAGTCCCTTGCAAGCGGCCCAAATGCCAAGGTTTCTAAGCACTAATTTCATTTATTCACACCTTAAAGTATACTTTATGTATGCTTTTTGATTGAATGGAATTTTCTGAATTACTTTTTGTGTACTTTTCGTGTAGTTTCGGTAAAACAGTAAATTTTTGGCTGTTAGTGGATTAAAAAGAGATTTGATAAATGTTGAATCCAGAAGATGTGCATAACATAGTTAGATAAACTACTCTGCATACAGAATGCATGCAGATTCTGGTTCAGTGTGGGAGCGGGCATAGCCTCAGGTCACCACACCTACCCAGTTCATCCATATGAAACAAAGGAAGTTATTATATCTAAGTACTACTTGAGCTAGAAGACAAGATACAAACTTAGAAATATATGTATATCCGTTTACACACAACCGGTTTCGGGCCTTAGAACTATACCGGATGTGTAGCTTTCTTGTCGGCCCTCATCAGTAGTTCACAAGAAAGCTTCAAAAGACGTAAAATTCACTAATACTTTTTGAATACCTATGATGGCAGAAGTCAAAAAAAAATATTAGAAGTAGAAGTAGAAGTTGGGAAAGGAATCAGGCACGCTCAGGCAAATGAGACTTGAGACTGATGTTGTGATGTGTATGAGGTCGAATTTGAATTCATCTTACACTGTCATCCTGGCGCGTTAGCACTAGTCCACACTGCGCGTAGCTCGTGCATCAGAGGAAGACGTATCGCCGTTACAAACCCGTATTTGCGTAAAATGAAAGGTCTATCTATCATAGCCCGACATAGTATGTTCATAAAGTACCCACACTCCCATCCATTATCAAAAGATGTTCTACCCAACTCAATTATTCTACCTTTGAAGTCCGAGTAACATGTCCATGTTCATACATGTCCATACATTCGCGTCTATTTTTCAAAAAATGTGAGCTGTATTGTAGATGGTCCCTAACTAGGCGACCGCCGGCTCGATTTGGCCCCTCTACACTGAAAAAAAGGCGCTCATAGTGGTTCACAAAGACTATTTGGTCTTCGCGAGCGACTTCTCGATCTTCCCCAACGTGATTCAATACTCTTTCCAGTCAGCACTCACGTTCCTCAATGTTGCTGCCACTGTGGTGGAGAGAGTAAGAAGACACAAGGCGTCTTCGTCAAAAAAGAAGTTTTGGCGGGCCCGGCACAGATGGTCTGGGTGCTCCAAACCAACGCGTGTCTGGGTTTTGAGCATTTCACTAAATGTGATTTGATTCTCAAGGTAGTACGGGCTCGCAAAGGCTCTTAGTATGCAAAATCTCTTTAATCCTAACAACTACCGATGACCACATTTCACGTAAAGCATTGCTTTTGAACTTCCTCGCCATCAAATACAGCCAAAACTTTGCTGCTACGTCTTCAGTTTAAGTTTAAGAGCAGATGATACAAGTATTGGCTGCAAGAAGAGTTCCAGCAGGTTGAAGCGTAATTTCTCTTTTCCTTTGTATCTGTCGAAAAGCTTTACAACAGTTCAATGTAGAAAATCACCAACGCGATTTACTCTGATGTGTAGTTTGTAGGTTCACAGTGTTCCTAATCCTGACGACAAGAAATGGGAGGGGAGGGGGCAAAAGTTTTGATACTCGATGTATCTGCAGCAGATAGGGTTGTCGATATTGAAAAGCTTCCACTTTCCCCACCAACTCTGTCGCCATAGAAAATTGGGAATATTATGCAATTACGAGATGTAGATTGTAAGTCAAAGCAATTCAGATTACACTTCTGATAATGAAGCACAAAGGCTCTGTTTTCTATATTTGCATTATCAATCAGAACGTTAGCTCTTGGTTTTGACGTAGAATTCCAGGGATTTCGGAGCAAACCATCAACAGCTACCCAAACCTAACTTCGTTTTCTCGCAGAGGAAAGAAGCGGAACTGCTGAATGAAAAGCTACGGGGGTGCCCAATTCACAAGGTTACGAAAACGGACAGGATTACAAAATCACTGGCTGTTCTAGCTGCTATTTTCCTTCAATTTATGTGAACAAATCTAATTTTACGGAAGACAGTTTACCTGCTCAGACTGCTTTCCTCAAAGAGCTGCTACCGATATAAGTTCGAAACTGTGTTGACCGAATAACCTGTGAACATTTACTCATTTCAGACCTTTTTTATGCGAGATCGGCAGCCTGGAATGACTTTGTGCAGAAGAGAGCATCAATTTGTATAAGTAAATGCATAATTCTAGCATCAAAAGAGTCAAGACCTCATAATATTTTCACTTTATTCTAGGTAGGTTTTGCGTTAACATTTGATAGAGCGAAGTAGGCTCTACAAGATGGTATTCAAACTTCCGCGCCAACTTCAAGTCACGAAGTCTTGCCAAGAACAGGAAATAAGTTCTCGAAAAATAGGAGAAAAGTTGAGAAACGTTTAAACGATCACTGATTTCTTCTATCTCATTGTCAGGCATATACATTTAACGGAGTATGGAATTTACTGAATACCATCCACCATCAGGAATATATCATTGAGTAATGTGGAGCGTACATGCGTGAGCGAGTGAGAGACCCGTGGGTTTTTGAAGAGGATCCAAATTTTTCAGTTTTTTGGGTATCCAGGACTTTTCTAGATTTTTGGTTGAATTTGAAACTCAAAGCGGTGCGGATGTTTACACGCCATCATGTAGAGCTTTGCTTTGTCGAGCAGTACCTCGAAACTTGTCTATATTGTAGGGGAAGCACGAACAGCTGCGGTTTTGAGCTATTTTGGTGCGATTATGTTACAACTTGATACAACTGATAACTTGCCATTTTCGGGTACCGAGGCGAAAAAATTATTCTTTAAAACATAGTTTGTGCAACATCTCACAAACTAGACCTTAGAAATAGGAAATTATCTGCTTTTTCGTTGACCATAAAATGTCTGGCTCTTTCCATGTTGTTGAAACGATAACACATAATTAGAAGCATAACAGCAGAAGGTGTTTGCAGCATTGAGACGCTTTAGTACAAAGCGAATTAATAAACTGCGAAGTCGTTAGGTTCGACGAGCACAAACGAATTTGTTCATCCTGAGGTTCATCTCAATGTCCACCATTAGACGCTTCAAGCGTAAGGGAAAGTGTATCCATCAAAAACCAGCAGGTTCTACGTGGAAATGTTCCCGACTCTTTCAGAAAAGCTCACAGACAGCGTGAGCTCGATGTAAGTCAACGGGATCTTGCATCAATCAGTTCGTGTACAGAGACATGGATTCGGCATTCAGTGTCCACTCTGAGAGGCTGCTAGGCTGCTAGGCTGCTAATGTAAGTCAACAGAATCTTGTCCATCAATCAATTCGTCATAATGACTTACAATTAGCGGAATCAAGCCTAGTCTGTTGTAACCACGGCTACATGGTGTAATAAATGCTTGATGGCAAGAATGGCGGACATGTAATTATGAGACTAATTTATGGCAAGACCAGAGGACAAAACAAAAGAGAAAATACGCATTTCCACAAACCGAACCAAAAAATTGAGTACATATCAGGGTAACCCATAATTTTTTACCGTTTTTATTATAACCGTCGTCTCTTTGTATTTTTTCCTTCGATTGATGTGGCTTAAGTGACCATTCGACATGGCAAAGCATGCTCTACAAGATGGCTATCAAAAGTCTGATCAATTCGTATCCTACGTGAAGCTTTGAGCTGAATTATGATAGTAGTCGAAAACGAACTTCTCCTGAAATAATCGTATCTCCGCCCCAATATGCCTTGAAAAATCCCCATTTATCCTAGCATATGCTTGATATATCCCACACTGAATTCTACTATTTCCGTATTTTTTCCACGGCTAGAAATAAAGAAAAAATTAGAAGGGTAAAATGGCATGCTTCGCCCGTAGACATCCTGACCTTCTCCCACGCAAGTGATCATATAGCTCATACATACAGAGGGTAGGTCATGTATTTGTAAATTTTGCAGGTGCCCCTTTTTTCGAGAAATGTTGACGTAGAGGGTAAAAACTGTAGAAAATTATGGGGCACCCTAATATTTGAGTATCTCTTTGGAGGTACTATTGTGGTGGCTCTATCTGGAGCTGCAATATGCTAGGTGGAGTTCAAGTCCGTGTGAAGTTTTTTCGACTATTTTGAATGAAGAGGGGCGCACGCCGGAAACACATTCAACGCAGTTCCCATCCTCTCTTTAACAGCAAAGCTTTGGGTATGTCTCGTAATCATAATCAATCATCAGGTATATAAACGTTTTGGCCGTGCCATCTTTGACTACTTCTCAAA